CCCCCCCCCCCCCCCTCCTTCCTTTATAATACTCAGTGCTGATTGTTGATAGTCCGTTCACTTATAGGCACTGATGTTACTCTTCCAAGTTATGGACTCGAGGTATGTTGCCTTGTTAGAAACGATTCTTCATTGCACTTACTCTAGATCTTCTTCCGTGAAATTTAATTTTTTGTTTTAAAATTAATTTAACTTCTTCAAAAGAATAAAAGTGATGAAATCTGTTCTTTTTAGACAGTCAATATCTGATCGTTATTACCAAGCTTTGTACGCGAAACTTCTTGACCCACACCTAAGGCTGTCTTCCAAACAGGTGGGAATGTTTTAACAACAAATAATAAATATTACACGAGACAAATTTACAAACAGACCTCGATAGATTTCTTATGTTTTACACGAACGACTTTTATGCCTGCTTTCAGTGTCATGGGAATCTGCATGTACTGTACACTCAGTCAAGTCATGTTTATGTGTAATTTCTATTTAAAGGCAATGTTCCTGAATGTTATATACAAGTCTTTAAAAATCGATACTTCATTAAAAAGAGTTAAAGTAAGTTCTGCACCTTAATTTATATATTTTTTCATATGTTCTCTCCTGTATTTTGCTGCGTTGTGTCAGATTTAAAACATAGCGTAATCATGCACAATGGAATTAGACTTTTCCCAAAAGAGATCACAGTGCATTCTGGGATCGTTTGGAGGGACAAAATATATGGTGACAGGCTCAAATATGTGAAAGAGTAGAAGTATCTACTATCAAATATCAACTTTTTAGACGACCAAAAATGATATACTGTATTTCCTTTTTACATTAAACATTTAATTTAAAGGTGATCTACAGTCCGATCTGCGCATGTGCACAAATGAGCCCACTTTTTATGATGCAAACAGTTCAACTATGTTTTGAGTTCTTGAAAAGCCTGATTGTTGTTTCTTGATCATTTATTATACTCTAGAAGCTTGAAAATATAAATAGTTGTCGAATAAAGCTCAATATTTTGGACACAAAAAATGTAAACAAAGGCTTTGTTTACATACGGACTGTAGATCACCTTTAAATGTGTGCTGCTATATTTCTTGTCCCTCTAACATGGAATTCGCGCGACTATACCAAGGACTTTGCGAAATGGCTAATAGCGGATAATTAATAAAAACATTTATTTGATTAGATTTTTGTGATATCCATTATTATCAAGGTCGAAGCAAGTGTTATTTGAATTCGAGACATCACAAAAACCGAATTCAATAACTGTTTTATTATACATTGCATTTTCATTAACTCTTTCGACAATTAATGATTTGACGTGAAAAACAACGCTTGGCCCTCAAAAAAAGCAGTGAAACTGTTTAAAATGTTACAATAACAGCATAAAATAAAGAAAACTCATTTATCTGCTAGAGTTCCGATAAAAATGTCAAGAACGTCTGCATAGAAAACTGCACCAAAACGCGGTTCGTTGATGTTGTTTTTTATTGTTTTTATTCGTGTATTTGAAACTGCCGCTTTCTATAAAATTACATACCGCTGGCTCAAGCTACACATAACTCCGTTATCTGCTAGCAGATACAGTACAATAACTGTGTTATGTGTAGGTTGCTTAATTTCCATGGATACAACTGCCCCAGTTGGGGTCTGGGGCGGTTGTATCCCTCCCACCGGGAAGAGGCAGGGTGGAACCCGCGGTTCATGGGTGAAGGCCCCGAAAGCTAATCGATTTTAGCCTTTGCAAGCCTTCAGAACAGTTCAAAATTGCTTTGAGTTAATATTTAATATAACGGACTTAAGATGGCGAAAGTGTGGATTTTCGAGAATTCGCCTCGACATTTACCGAAATGTTTCTTTAATTTAGGCTTTTGTAAAACGTCTTCTCCAAGTGTGTTCGACCCAACCGCCTGCCTTTGTATGTGGAGTGTTGTATTTATTATCAGAGGTACGAAAAAAAACACAGCACCATATAATTGTATTTGTCAACGGTGCTTGTATTGAACTCTTTTATCATACGTAACTGAACTCGATGTTTTAGATTGGAAAAGTAAAACCTGGGATAAAAAGTCTGGTCACGCAACCTGAGGTACTGCTATTACTATTTCATGAACAACTCTTATCAAGTTGCTACAAGACTGTCACTCGCAACTTGTTAACAATTTGTTGAATTGCAGGACGATAACAAGTTGTTACAACAACTCGTAACAGTGTGTCGATTCAACAACCTTGTAGCGAGTTGTCAACAAGCCGTTGACAACTTGTAAACAAGCTGGGAACAAGCAGTGCGAATACACCCTGATGACAAGTTGTTGTAACAGCATTGCTACAAATCCGTCACAGGCTTCTTACAAGTTCTGTGTGTAAATTAGCATTTGCGATGATGCGCAAAATTATTTCATTTCAGGAGCTCGACGAGGAAGAACATTTTACAGATGTTGTCGACACAACCGAAGATACCAACAACCCTCCATCCCCTGCTCAAAATGACGTCACGAAAGCACCAAACAATGCCGATCACGTGACGTCTTCCCACGGTCACGTGTTCGTTGACTCATCTCGCACGCCTGGTTACCAAGCCAACGCACGAAATCCGCTGTACAGTGGTGCAGACAGCTCGTGTTTATGGGAAATCATGAAATTATCGCGACATTATCATCCGTCCGTCTCCCGCTTTGCTCAAAACATGTTACAGGTATGTATTAGTACAGTAGGCAATAGTATCCATGATACTACTAGGCACTATGGAGGTTATCGTTCCATGTTTCACGCACCAATATAAGTTAGGGTTAGGTATTAGGGTTAGGGGTTAGGTTAGGGTTAGGTTTAAGGTTAGGGATAGGGTTAGGGTGTGTATATACGTGTATGGATTATTCAGTTAACTTTTCAGTACACTATAATATCCATTACATAACGTTTACTATATTGGTGCGCGAAACATGGAACGATTACCACTATGGACAAGAGAGAAACCGCTGACTGACAGGGACCGCGGAAGCGGGGGGGGGGAGATCCAGCTCCCCCCCCTCTCCCAATAATTTCCATGATACTGAACGCATATGGCCCTTTCGTGCTTGGTTTGGGAAATTGGTAAACAATAATGTCTAATAGTTACGTGCTCAGCTGGCTACATGGACACATGACATTTCCGCATGGCTGCAGACCTGAACATATCTTATTATAGCTTTTCTCTTGTAGGGTGAAAATATAACATACGATGGTGATCCCTTGTCCGATTTTACTTTGATGAGGTAAAATTATTTTGGACAATGATTGTAAAATTACTTAAATTAAATCATTCTTCTATTGTTTCGCCTGTATTCTAAAAGCTCACTCGCACTCAATGAGTAGAGGTTCAATCTGAGCTTCTCTTGAGTGTCAATGCTGTTTTTGAATAGCTGGAGGGTGAGTAGTCACATAGTAAGGTACGACACTAATCCTCCAGCTATTCAAAAACAACATTGACACTCAAGAGAAGCTCAGATTGAATTTCCACTCATTGAGTGTGAGTGAGCTTTTAGAATACGGGCGTTTGTCTTAAAATGTCTTGAAATAGTGACTTGAATTAAAACAGCTAACATGCAGTGTTAAACATTTCATTGTTAGATTTCTGGATAGATTTGTGTACAAGAATCCAAAAAAGAAAGATCAAGGTACTATTTACTGGATTTACTGTATGCGTGATGACTGTCTGACTGGTCGTATTAGATAAATGAAATTTTTATTGATATCTTTTTATCTTTGTTTAGACCATGGCGGTTCACTTATGCAGGTAAACTCACAATATATACATATTTAAGTGCTGGGAATTTTTTTCCAAATCCTTACTATGGAAATAGCATGGATCTTCATTGGGAGTAGTATATGGAAATCCAATTTCCATACTAATTGTAATTTCATACTAATAGTATGACTATGGATAGAGTTTGGAAATAGTATGGATATACGTATGCGACATTCACATCAAATATCGAATATAATGTCAAGCTTTTGTTGGCATCTCACTCGTTTGAATAATAGTTGAAGGTCATTGTAAATGGAAATTATGGAGTGGAAATTTTATGTGTTAGATAAAACATGAGCAGCCGATCTGTATCTGATATACAAACTCGAGCCGAAGGCGAACTTAAAAAATGACCCATCTTATGATTCTATACATATTTAGACCTTTGTCTAAGCCGAGAAA